GGTCGACGCGAAAGTTTAACATATGCATCCGAATTCTTGACGCTTCGCGTGTCCCCACCAGCCCATCCAGAAACGATGTCCAGGCAAGTTGAAGAGATCAGGGAAGTGGGGGAGCAACGAGAGGGACAGCCGATCCGTGCAAAGGATGAGGCGGAAGAGGAGGCCAGATGGATAGATGAGGGGGTGGCGAGGAACCGAGCGAAGGAGGGATGAGGAGAATGATGACGCTGGGTGGATGGTTGAATGCCGCTCGGATGCCTCTTGGAAGCCTTTTGGAAGCCTCTTCGGACGTCTTGGGGGTCTCTTGGCGGTCAATGGGGGCTCTTGGACGTCTTGGGTGCTTCGGGGGGGCCTCTTGAGGCCGCTTGGGATCCTCTTGGGGGGCTCTTGGGGGCCTGTTGGAGGCCTCTTGGGGCCTCTTGGGGGTCTCTTGGAGCTTCATGGCGGCCTCTTGGAGCCTCTTGGAGGCCTCTTGGAACCATCCTGGGAGCCTCTTGGAGCCTCTTGGGGGCTTCTTGGGGCCTCATGGCGGCCTCTTGGGGCCTCTTGGAGGCCTTTTGGAAGCCTCTTGGGGCCTCCTGGGCGCCTCTTGGGGCCATCTTGGAGGTGATCGATCAAAGAAGAGGGTGGGGTTAATTAGCCTTGCCCCCCCAAGAGGCCAAAATGGGGCCAAAACCATGGTAAAACCGATGATTTTGGTTTCCTCGCCGAGGCCGTTTTGGACGCTCTAACTACCAGCGCCCCCCCCGTCCAAGTCCAGGGGAGGGGGTTAGGGGGAGGGGTAAACCCCTCCCCGAAGGGGAAGAAGGGAAGATGGAAGAGGAAACTCCCGGAACCACCTCCGCCCAGAGGGCTGGTGGGATTACTGGAGCTCCACGAGCAGGAATGCATAAACATGTCGACGACATGGTTTGGCATGCTGCTGCCGGGTAGCCCGACCACTAGTATAGCGACATCGCGGGGCAAAACAATCGCGGCGTCTGCACAATATTCACTTGGCCGCTGCGATTTCTCACGAAGGAGGTGGTCGCTGAGTTTTTAGCGAACATCAGCGGCGTAGAGGTGTTTGCCAGTAGCTTCGACGTAAAGGAAAGGTTATTGGCTCACTTTGATGAGGAGACGGTGGCAGCACCACGTGTAGCTTGGTATCGAACAGCAGTGGGATCCAAATTGTACCACCCGCGCAAGCTCGAGATGATGAGGTCCAAACGTGACGGCGAGTGGGTGCACCCCAACGTGATTGTGCACAGTCTCTGGCGTAACGATGATATTCTTAGACGCTTCGCGTAACCCCACCAGCGCATCCAGAAACGATGCCAAGGCGAGCTGCCCTGCTCAGGGATGTGGTGAAGCATGCAGCTGAATAAAGGTTGGGCAAGCCGTCGTAGCGGAAGAGGGAGAGGATGGATGTGCAATCGGAGGAGGAGGAGGGAAATGATGCGGAGGGGGAGGGGGAAGGAGGAGGAAGGATCATGATGATGATGGTGTTGACGATGATGATGATGACGATGATGCTGATGATGATTCTGATGCTGATGATGATGCTGCTGAAGACGAAGATGCAGATGAAGATGAAGATGATGAATGATGATGATGATGATGATGATGATGATGATGATGATGATGCTGATGATGATGATGATGATGATGATGATGATATGATGACGACGACGACGACGACGACGATGATGATGATGATGATGATGATGATGATGATGATGATGATGATGATGATGCTGATGATGATGCTGATGATGATGATGATGATGCTGATGATGATGATGATGATGCTGATGATGATGATGATGATGATGATGATGATGATGATGATGTGATGATGATGATGATGATGATGATGATGATGATGATGATGATGATGATGATGATGATGATGATGATGATGATGAGATGATGACGATGATGATGATGATGATGATGATGAGGAGGAGGAGGAGGAGGAGGAGGAGGAGGAGGAGGAGGAGGAGGAGGAGTAAGAGGAGAAGGAGGAGGCGGAGGAGGAGGAGAAGGAGAGGAGGAGGAGGAGAGGAGGAAGGAGGAGGAGGAGGGGGAGGGCTATGTGGGGGAGGGATAGGCGGATGCTGTTGCCGCTCCTGCTGATGATGATGATGATGATGATGATGATGATGATGATGATGATGATGATGAGGAGGAGCAGGAAGCAGAGGAGGATGAGGAGGAGGAGGAGGAGGAGGAGGAGGAGGAGGAGGAGGAGGAGATGGAGGAGGACGAGTGTAAACCCAAGACGCATCAACGATGTTGTTATAAACTCTCCCTTTAGGTTCCCTCTTCGTCGGCCCCTGCAAGGGTTCGTTTTCATTGAGGGAAGTACCCCGTTAGTAGACAACCGTTTGAGCATCAGGAACTGTGCCAAAACACCATTGTTGGGGCTTCATCGCCGCGAGTCACAATTGCCCTTTGCGTCTTGACGACCCTGAATCGCGCCAACACACCATTCCTGGGACATCGGCACCGCGAACTA